GTGAGGCAGGTTCGAAGTTGCAGAAGCAGAGCGACCAGGACGCGGCCCAAGTTGCAGCGGGCGATCAGGTCAGCTTACGTGCGGGTGTATGTGGGCGACTGCTCGCTCATTTCGTTTCCCTCTGGCACATCTTCTGGTCGCAGGTTACCACGATAGGGCCTGAACCCGTGTTGACGGGCGTGGAAACGAACGGGCCCTGGAAGCGAGCGCCCTGGCACAAGCTTACCGGCCTACGTCCTAATTCAAATCCCGCCCAGGGGGTTTGTCCGGCTGTTGCTTGAGATGGCTGCGATTTTTTTGGCCTTAAGCTGCTCAGAATCAAAGCCTAGATTTGCGAAGAATGCCGACGTTATGTGTCCACTTCTGCAAGCACATTAGAAGTTTTTGAGAATCCGCTGACGCCGCGCAGTGCTTCCCGTGCTGCAGATGAGCAGGACGAGTTGTAGGTCAGGTTCTGTGCAGAGAGAAGTGTGAACACCTGAAGCATCCTACAGCTTTCCGACTTCAGGTGCTGTACGGCTTCTGGCCTGCTCTCATCCTTGTGTTGGGCATGGTCGCCGCTGCCTGAGATATCTCAGCACTGCCGTTCACCGTACACCGCTTCCTTGGGTAGGTGGTGCTCGCAACCCTGAATGCACGCTGGGCTTCGGATGGTTCGTTGGGCTTTCAAGAGCTTCACGGAAGGACGGTGGCTTCGATCGAAAGACAGAGAAACGTACCAGATGCGGGCGAGATGCGGCTGTTCAGGACGGTGGTCGCAGGTCCCCGCTTGGAGTCGTCGGGCTTGCTGCTGTGGCGCCTTGTGCCTCGAACGTTATCAGCCAACCACGTTGCATTTGCAGAGATCTCTCTCGATTGTGTCATGTCAAGCTCGTGGCAAGGAATCTCTGAGCATGTCGTCTCGTGCCTCTTTGTGGCTCTGCCTCGTAGGCTTGCCTGATGCTTTCGGTGGCGCCGCTGGTTCTCAGCGTCAGAAGGTACAATGCCAAAGAGAAGGAGCTCCGAGGGCCGTGCAACGTTTCAAAAGCCTTTGCGTCATTCCAATGCCAAGTGTCACAGTGTCACTGTCGCTGAACCGGGAACAGCGCCAACACTGCGTCAAATCATGCGAAGTGCATTCCGTCGAAGTGTACTCTGCAGCTGTTCATCGCATGAGAAATTTCCCTATATGCCCTATGCGAAGGAGCCCCATGAGATTTTGCCCTTCTTTCTCTGCGGTGGTATTGAGATCTTGCTCGTGTACTTCACTCTTTGGACGCTTGCCGAGTGCACCGCATTTTCTCATCGGGCCATGCCGCGTGGGGGATGCAGGGAATCGGCGCAGGGTCGGCTTTTGGCTGGGCTTTTGCCTGGTATGTTGTAACGCTGTATATAAGGGTCTTGAGCGAACATCATCACAGGACTTGGTGCATCATTACGATCTACTTCCTGCTGGCCAGCAGCTGTTTGGTTTGCAATCGGAAGACTTTCTGTGCCCATGGGCTCGCGAGCACAGCACCTTGTGTAATGAAGGGCCGAAGCGACGTTTCCCACAGCCACGGGTTTGCAGTGAGGCGCAAGCTTCGTCTATGTCTTCTTCGGATGGACTCCGACGCATCGTCTGGCCACGAGCCTTTGGATTGCGTTTGACATCGCAGCTTGGCTATGACGGGCAGAGACGGAGAGAGACATCGAGAGGATGAGGGTAGAAGAAGAAAGAAGGACGAGAAGGGAGAGAGAGGAAGCGCTTCGGAGTGAGTAGCTCTGCGCTAAAGGCTTTCTTGAGTTGGTTGCCGTCCGTTTTGTGCCTCTCGAAGAGCATGTGATGCTGCCTCGCGCATAACATGACTTGGGATGTTCGCTATCGCTTGTAGTGTTGCTGCTTCATGTCGCTCTTCACACACCGCGTATCTGAGTTGGCGAGCTTCAGTATGATCATGTACCCGGGGGAAACCCCGGATGTTTGTCTCAGTTCGTAGTTCCGCCCGTGTTTTCGGACGGGTGTGCCCCTTGAACCAGCAGCGGTCGATGTGCGTGGCCCGTCATAGCCAGTTTCGTCCCCATAGCATATGAGTGGAGGTCAGAGGCCTCTGCAGTCCCAAGGCCACGAAGATTTCGTCAACAGCAGCCTGCCGTCTGAATGCTCGCACAATGGTTCGATTGGTGTGTCGCTTTCGCTTTGCTCCCACATTCTGGTTCTGTTTGTGACTCTGCCCGCCAAATGGATGCAGCTCTTCGACCAGGTGAGTGCTTCTGATGATCGGCGAAGAGAAACATGAAAACTCTCCGCCGCCGGGCCGGCACCGAACCCGACGAACGATTTGGTCACCCATGCACTTAACACAGTCAGCCGGATCCGTCAAGCATTTCCAGCAACGTCGCCCAAAGCCGCTCGTGGCCGTTAGTGTTCTCGTGCACCGAGGACAACGTCAATAGCTTGTCGAGGCCGTTTAAACGAGACTCCAAACTCGGACCAAGTGTTGGATCCGTCGTCGGATTGGTTTTGCAGTCGTGCTCGGGGACAAGAACCCGTTGGTTCCGTAGCGTCAGCAGTAGAGAGAGCGAAGTGAGGGGAAGAGAGGGAGAGCTTCACGGCATTAAGAGAATCGATTCTGCACGCGAGGCCTTCGGGACGTCGTGGCTGGTGTTCTGGGCAGTCTGGCTGCTGCTGTTGCCCTTTGCATACTTGGCGAAGCCACTAGCTTGCAACATACTTGAAAGTCTTGAGCATGAGCAGTTGAACACGCCTAGCAAGTTTCATGACAGGCGCAAGGCGGCAGTGGACAGCTTGCGATTTTCCTGGAACAGCCTGAACCCTCCCGAATCTTGAGATGCCCCACGGCTGGATGAGAGATTGAAGTTTGAGATGGCAAGAGGCTGGAGCCGCTACTGCTGTACATGCACAATGCCAACGTGATCCTTCTCACTGGAGAGGCTCTTCTCTCTAAGTGGAACTTGCCCTTCGGCTGGTCGAACATCGGTCGCATGCACTGGTAGGTGCCACTGCACGAAAAATTCAGCGGGCTGAGTGTTAAGGCGAGTTGAGCACTCCATCTTCCCAGCTTATGTTGTCCTCGCCTACACGGTCTGGAACTGGTGGCTGAAGACCAAGACCGGCCACTGGCTGTACTTCTTCATGGACTACAACAGGCCTTTCCCTTTCGCATGGCGCTCGTTGCATTGGGGTTTTCACACGGGCAGATGCCCCCTGCGAGGCCATCCGTGGTTCCAACATTCCTCATCCTTGTCGCGGTCGAGGTGGCATCTTTCCGGGCTGGCGCGAGCTTGGCAGACCTCGGACAATGATCGGGCATAGAAGTCGTGGATTCGGAATCCGCGGCACGAAGTCATAAGAGCCACAATCTTCCCTCTCGCAGCCGCTAGATTACGATCTGCATGATTTCAACGGACCGGATCATTGCCCCAGCCCTCGACCCCAGATAGGACATGGCACACCATCATGACGCTAAAGCGGCACGTAATGAACTACGGATAGTCGGGAGACAGGTAGCAATTCAGCGAACGGGTGGAGAGACGGATGGGGAAACCGGTAGCGATACAAACAGGGGAACACATGGGGAGACAAGCGAACATCGAAGCAACAGGAGTGAGTGTATCGCGAAAGTTTGGGTTTTGATTTGTGAGTTTGAGAGTTTGAAAGCTGAGAGAGGAGTTTGAGAGCATGAGAGCTTTGAAGCGTTAAGCATTTGGAGTTTGGGAGATTAGGGCACCTTCACCTTCCATTCCTGACACATCTTTAAGTTGCAATCTCTCAAACTCCAAGTGGTTCGACCTTCTCAGCATCGAGTCGGCCGAACCCTCGAACCTCCGAAACTCAAATCCTGCAATCTCTCATAACTCCGCAGCTTGATACAGTCTCACGACGTATAGCTGCATAGCCACCAGCTCGGCCGGAAGACCAAGGAGGCAATGAGTTGGACAAAAGCGGAGAGACAGAAGAATCAAGCAGACTAGCCGGGCGACAAATCCGAAAGTGCATTCGAAAATCCTGTCCGTAAATAAAGTTGCAACCCAATCCCCAGGAATGATGACAGTAGCCTTTAGAGCACACTTGAAGCCCCAGACCTGTTCGGCTTTCCGAGCTTTATGCTTGAAATCTGGTCAATCGTGCCGCTACTCGAATCACGCTTTTCAACTGTGGTCTGATCCTCGGATCATGGCTGCATGTCCAGTTTTGGTACTGCAAGGGCAGTGCGAACATGGTCTTAAGACCCGAGCCTTCTCGGTTTTCCCCGTCCGAGAAGTACTATTCTGTACCTGCGAAGGCGGTACGATGTTTCGAGAAGCTTGGCGCTGTCGCCATCTTGCTTCGCCGACACGAGTTTTGTGGCACTGATGCGGAACAGTGCCGCTACAAGTTGCTGCCCCCAAAGCCGGACAGCGCCTCACAATTCTGATCGTGTACAGTCTGATCAGTTTGCGCGCTGCACCAAACAGCTTGAACTTCATGCTGGTGGGCCTGCCTTGTCTTGGGCACACAACTTCGGATTTCATGGGTGTTCTGTCCCTGAGGTTATCTGATGCCAACCTTCCTAGAGCTTTGCAGCATGCAAGATTGCTGGGAGCACTTTTGTTTCCATCCCCTGATGATATTATGTCCCACGCGCTTTGTTGCCATGTAGCCGTGATCATATCCCACCTGAGCCCAAGCGTGACGTCTTTCAACGTTTGCTCAAGCTTCCATCTTTTCAGACTGTCACGGCAGTATCTTCGCGCAGCAGTGCGCAGCATGCGGGCGCACTTCGTACCCAAGTTGCCCGCAGACCTTCAACACCAGATAACCTCAGTACAAGACCCATGGACGAAGAATACATTAAATTCATGCCCAGCAGTGTAATCACGGAAATAAAGGTTACATTGTCGCCTGCGCCATCTTCGTTTCGCTGCTGACAGCAGGTTCTGATTAAGGTTTATCCTTTAGCCAAGACCCCCGCAAACAGAGCCCTTTCCAAAGCACAGCGTTGACCTTGTATGTGACCTTGTATTGTCGCCACCAAGCGATGCAGCAAGCCTCCTCTGGGCCACGTCGTTCCGCTGTGAAGCGCTTCGACTTGTATGGCAAGGCATGGAACTGCGTACACTGCAGATGGGCGCTCGGGTTTCGGATTCAAGACTTTGGACAATACCAGCCCATGAGCCAACAACAACCATTTGTTCGTGCTGAAGGCAACCAGCCTCAGTAGCTTCCCGTGCTTTTGGTTGTGCTGATTTCGTCGGGAGTGGTTGAAGGCAATGGGCCTCTTCTGACCCCTGAAGTATGAGCAGCAGAAACAGACGACGTGCAGGTACACGATGATTACAAAATCAAGACGCAAAGCGGTGGACTGATCTCGTTGGTGTCTATGATCATCATGGCAGGGTGCCCGATCATTGTGTTATGTGCAACTTTCTTTTCTGCGAAGTTTGCTGGCGAGGCTTTGCTGTTCCTCTCCGAACTTCGAAGTTATCTTCAAGTAGAAATCATTGCGTGGCTCTCGAAGTGTAGCATGTCGCAGAACTTCATTACAGCTTTGAAGCAGGAGACATTTTCAGTTACCTGTGCTGCATGGCAAAATGAGGATCATATCGTCGTTGACACAACACTGAACCAGAAGCTTCCGCCTGGAGCCTAATGTTGTGATGGATCTCGGCCGGAGAGCAATGACATGTGCATTGACAAGACCAAACTTTGAGCTCTTGCCATGGACTAAGGATAGGGCTGAACATTACTTTTCCACATCTCCGGTGCGATGAGGCTGCATTCTCACTCAGTCAGCGGGTCCCCTACCAGTTGCCGGTTGCAGACTGTGTGGTTTGCCATAAAGGTGTCTGTTGACACAGTGGACTCCACCGGCGAGAACCAGGCAGTGTCTCATGCGCTTGTGGACCCTTAATTAGCTTAGATTGTTTAGTGTCCTTAGTTTCTAACACAAGCTCGATGTATCTTTCCATTGTTGGATCTTTGAGGGAGGGTAGATCAAGTAAGAAGGGAGGGTGTTTTGGATCCTCAAGGAACCTTCGAGAGCCTACAGGGGGTACTCGGGAGAATGGGGCATTACTAGGTTATATACCCCCCTCAACCCCGCTCCCTCAAGGATTCGGTACTTATAGTACGTAATGGGAACAGGCGTGCCCAGAACAAGGCCTTGAGCAATAAAGCTAAACTCGAACCAAGGCATCAACCAAGCTTCGAATCCCTCCTTACGCGCACCAGGTTGACATTGCTGGAACGCTTACGAAACTGACACTCGGTCAATCATTGGTGTCTGACATTGCGGGCAGGGGTCGAGATGTTCGGTTCACTCCAACCCGAACCCGAAACGGCTCAAACGGCAACATCCTGAGCCACCTTGAACCTTAACCAGAAAAGGGGCTCGCAACAAGCACCCAAACCTCAACCTAAACCTAAACAGAAAGTGGTGCAGAAGCCAAGGAACCTCGACTTGAGCGGTGCTCCGAGCAAGGGAGACCCCGTGGCCGCACCGGGCGAGCCGACCCTGCTGTTTTCGATAAAGAATCAGTGACCTGCAGCTCGTGGTCCTAATCATAATTACGAGTGAGCCACCGGTGACAGCAATATGCGAGCAGCAACTTGTCCGTTCTTCCAAAATCCTTTGTCTCTGTATGCTCTCCTAGGTATGGAAGCCTTTGGTATGTCTGGGTTTTCTCTGCTTCACCTATACTTTCATCTACTTCTTTACTTGGCTGTGCGAATGCAACACAAGAGTCTGGTTCGGTTTTCTTTTTACACGTCTACCGACTGTTTCTCACCAGTTGCCAGTGCGAAGAGACAAAACAGCCCCAACTAAAGAAGAAGCCAGAAAAAATCTTTCCTTAAGGAGCAGGAAGAAAGCTCCCTCTCATTGAGAAGCCCCTTGTAATCACGGAGACGCACAAGAATGTTGCTTTATCCTTCCTCCGAGGCAAGAGCTGAGCGAATTGCTATATTCTGTCCGTAACAAACAAGGCACTCTTTATCACTGGTACGTCTCCTGGCGTTTCGCAAAAGGGAGAGCAGCGCTGTATCTCAAACACGACAGACCATATTGAATAACAGCAGGCGTTCATTTTTCCCCAAACAGGTACGTTTGGGGTTCTCTCCTCAGGAAAAAAGGTGGGCCGCGGTGGGTTGGATGGCTGGGCCGCGGCAAACTGGCTGGGCTCCCATTGGGCTCCCTTCATGTTTCCTTTCTGGGCTCCTGGGTTGGACGGGTGGGCCGCGGCGAAGGACCTGGGCTCCCATTCACTTCACTTCATGTTTCCTTTCTGGGCTCCTGGGTTGGACGGGTGGGCCGTGGCAAAGGACCTGGGCGGCTTTATTGGGCTCCCTTCATGTTTCCTTTCTGGGCTCCTGGGTTGGATGGGTGGGCCGCGGCGAAGGATCTGGGCTCCCATTCACTTCACTTCACGTTTCCTTTCTGGGTCTTGGGTTGGACGGGTGGGCTGCGGCAAAGGACCTGGGCTCCCATTGGGCTCCCTTCATGTTTCCTTTCTGGGCTGCTGGGTTGGACCTGGACTCCCGTTGGGCTCCCTTCATGTTGGGCCGCGGCAATCCCGTTTACCTCCCTTCATGTTTCCGTTCTGGACTTCTGGATTGGATGGGTGGGCCGCGGCAAAGGGATTGGGCTGCCAATTGGGCTTCCTTCCTGTTTCCTTTCTGGGCTGCTGGGTTGGACGGACGGGCCGCAGCAGAGGGCCTGAGTTCCCGCTGGGTTCCCTTAATGTTTCCTTTCTGGGCGCCTGGTCTGCCACAAACGTCTACAGCAGAGGCCAGGTATCCGGTATCCTGTCTTGCAAGGCAGCAATGCTGTAACAGTTGCGTGTTTTTCCGTGCGTGGTTTCTGCTGCAGCAAGATCCTGTGAACGACGTTCTTCGTTCGGTTTGCGGAAAAATTGTCAATGGTTCCGTGTAAAGAAAATATTTGTTTGCGATGTAAGCCGACTCCTTCGCTTTTCTTTTTGCCCTGTTTGTGCGGCAAAGTTGCCCGTCTTTCCCGTGCGACAGCCGACCGATCCGTATACTAATCTTTTTTGTGCTTCTTCCACGAACGTCTACAGCAGAGGCAAGGTATCCTGTCTTGCAAAACGGCAAGGTTGTGACACTTGCGGGAAACTTGCCGCAAGATCCTCTGGACGACGCTCTTCGTTCGGTCTGCGGAAAAATCGTCAATGGTTCCGTGTAAAGGGGAACTCGTGTGTTTCTCCGTGCGTGGTTTCTGCGGCAGCAAGATCCTGTGGACGACGCTCTTCGCTTTGTCTGCGGAAAAATCGTCAATGGTTCCGTGCAAAAGAAGATTTTCGTTCGCCTTAGAAGCCCACAAACCTCTTCGCACTTTTTTGCCAAGTTTGCACGGCAAAGTTCCCAATTTGCTCCGTCCGACGGGCGACCGATCCGTATACCAACCTGCTTCGTGTTTCTTCCGCAATCATCTACAGCAAAAGTCAGGTATCCTGTTTTGCAAAGCAGCAATGTTGTAACAGTTAGTTGGTCGAATACGACGTTCCCTGTCTTTGTATGGGTAACATGTCTGACTGTGTAGCGGCTTAATGTGCCAATGACATGATCTTTGGCTCAAGTAATGAGAAAAGACTTACGCTTGCAGCTTGTGTTCCTCTTCGGGCTGGGCTTCCCTTTTGGGTTTCCTTGCCTTGCCCGGCGATCCTACCCGAATATCGTTGTGCTGCTGTTGAGGGTCGGATTAACTCAGTTGCGGGAAAGTTGTGTGTGTGTGTGTGTGTTCTCCGTGCGTGGTTTCTGCGGAAGTAAGATCCTGTGGACGAAGTTCGTCGTTCGGTCTGTGGAAAAATTCGTCAATGGTTCCGTGTAAAGAACGATATTTATTTTGCCTTGTAAGCCGACACACCCCTGTGCGTTCTTCTTTTTGCCAAGTTTGCGCGGCAAAGTTCCCACTTTTCGCCGTGCGACAGCCAACCGATCCGTAAACCAACCTCTTTTGTGCTTCTTCCACAAACGTCTACAGCAGAGGCCAGCCATCCGGTATCCTGTCTTGCAAGGCAGCAATGTTGTAAGAGTTGCGGGAATGGTTGTTTGTTCTTCCGTGCGTGGTTTCTGCGGCAGCAAGATCTTGTGGACGACTTTCTTCGTCTTGTCTGCGGAAAAAATCGTCAATGGTTCGGTGTATAGGGGAACTTGTGTTTTTTCCGTGCGTGGTTTCTGCGGCAGCAAGATCCTGTGGACGACGTTTTTCGTTTTGTCGGCGGAAAAGATCGTCAACGGTTTCGTGTAAAGAAAGATTTTTGTTTGCGATGTAAGCCGACAAACCCCTTTGCGTTTCTTTTTGCCAAGTTCGCGCGGCAAAGTTCCTACCTTTTCCCGTGTGGCAACCAACCGACTTGTATACCAACTTGTTTTGCGCTTCTTCCACAGACGTCTACAGCAGAGGCCACATATCCTGTCTCGCAAAACGGCAATGTTGTGTGTTTTTTCCGTGCGTGGTTTCTGCGGCAGCAAGATCCTGTGGATCTTCGTTCGGCCTGCGGACAAAACCGTGAATGGATCCGTGTAAAGAAAGATTTGTGTTTGCGATGTAAGCCGACAAACCCCTCTGCTCTTCTTTTCGCCATAATTGCGCGGCACAGTTCCTACCTTTCTTCCACAGACGTCTACAGCAGAGGCCACATATCCTGTCTCGCAAAACGGCAATGTTGCGTGTTTTTTCCGTGCGTGGTTGCTGCGGCAGCAAGATCCTGTGGATCTTCGTTCGGTCTGCGGACAAAGTCGTGAATGGTTCCGTGTAAAGAAAGGTTTTTGTTTGCTTTGTACGCCGACAAACCCCATTTGCTCTTCTTTTCGCCATAATTGCGCCGCAAAGTTTACACTTTTTTCCCGTGCGACAGCCAACCGATCCGTATACCAACCTGTTTTGCGCTTCTTCCACAAACGTTTACGGCAGAGGCCACATATCCTGTCTTGCAAAACGGCAATGTTGCGTGTGTGTGTGTGTGTGTGTGTGTGTGTGTGTGTGTGTGTGTGTGTGTGTGTGAACCTCCCTAGCACATGGGAGCAGAGGGTCACTCCTACATTGTTTGCAATTTTTGCTTTTCAACTCAATCAGACATTTGACATTTACCAAATCAACTGTTGCAGGGGAGTGCGGCATGGCTGTGGGACCGCACTCAACGAAGCTACCACAGTCATGGGATACCGAGTCTGATCAACTCGGCGTACCTGCAAAACCTTGAGCTGGGGCCCCTGTGCCAGCCCGATTAGAAGGCCCCTGTGCCAAGATTAGAGAGTTTTCAGTTACTACTTTTGGCGGTTGATTTGACAACAAACAAGCTGTACGGTTGCCACAATCTGACAAGCTTTTACAACTTGAACAACATGCCTCTCTTTTTCCTCTTGCACTCGTACTCTTGGCCGAATCCATCAGTGTGATCAGCGTGGGTCTATGAGACTCCAGAGCAACGGCTTTCCGTCATGGCGCCGTGGTGACCCTCCGGGGAGACCGGTGATGAACCGGATGTTCAGCCTTTGTTCAGATCGTTCAGATTCTCCAGATGCTACTTTATCTCTCTCTCTCTGATGCTCGCATGTGAGTCTGACATGAGTGCAGGTGCAGTAAGGGACGGCTAATGCAGTAAAGTGCGTCTAGTGAGCAGGTGCTACCTCTCTAGTCTGCCCCGTATTTTACCACTTCTTTATTCCTCAGGGACTGCAAGGGCATGTGCATCTGACATGAGTGCAGACGTGGTAAAGAGGTCTACAGCAAGTGAAGCAGCGCTCTCTCCGGAGAGTACTCGGCCCTCTTCCTTCCTTCTCTCCGTCTACGACCTCTCAAATCAGTCCAGCAGGGACAATCAGGACAGCCTGCACTTTGCTTGTGCAACTGTGTGTGTTTCACCCGCTTCGTTGCAGCTATGTGGCCGGATT